ACACCACAACTAGAAAAGGATTTTCCAGTAAATAATGCAATCTTAGGGTTCTCATGTCCTGCAACAAGACAGACACAAAATGGACTCAAGGCAAAATGGTGTTACCATACTCATTTCAAAAGCATTTTAACTGAACTAAAAAATGACCTGCTAAGGGGGGCAGCTCGATAGCAAAGCATTTCCCTGATATTCGGGCAACATTTAGTGCATGTGGGTACCAACTAACGGCTGTTTATAAACCTCATCAACACCTCTAACCTACTTTTTGAAAAAAGAATCCATTTAGTGACCAAAACTAGTATCTGCTTCTATAAATAAAGCTAGCCGTGGTGACACAGGCCTGTAATCCCTGCACTTGAGAGGCGAAAACAAAAGAATTTGGAGTTCAAAGTCACTTGCAGCTATGTATGAAGTTCAAAGCCAGCCAGTCACAGTAAAAGTGGTGCATTCCAGGTGGTGGTAGGAGCATGTTTCAGAAACAAAGGGGAGTAGGATTGCTAAATTCACAACCAATGTGATCTACAAAGCAAGACTCATCTCCAAAATTTAAACTGGTTTAAAGATACCATATAAATAATCTATCCAGACTAACTTCTAATATTGTGTTGGGGGATGGGAGGACTAAACAAAATTAAAAAGACCACAGCATGCCTGTAATCCCAGCACTCAGGAGGCTAATGCAGAAAGCTAAAGTTAAAAGCTAGTCCAAGTTAAAAGCTAGCCTGCTCTAGTGTGACCAAAATCCAAGAAAACTTACACCAAAAACACCCCACAATTTAGGTCTGTAAATGTATTATGAGTCTAAAATATTTTGAAATTTTTCTGTGTATTTTTTAAGCCTAAAAAAGGAAAGAGAGGAAGCCAGAGAGATAGCTCCAGAGTCAGTTAAAAGCACATAAGTACTATTCGCAGCACCAACGCTGGGTACTCACAACCACCTGCTAACTCTGGCCTCCATGGGCATCTGCACTCATATAAAGAGACCAACATACATAAATATGTATGCAAATAAAATGTTTTTATATTAAATTAAAATTGTAATTTAAAAATTGGAATTGGAGGAAGGAAAATGAAGAGGGAAATGCTATATTAAGATAAACTAAAAATAAAAAAATTAAAGGGAAACAAGGAAAAAAGATAGACAAAGATGACATTATACCCTGAGCCAAGCATGGCAAATGTTTTTAAGTCCAGCACTCAGGATGCAGAGGCAAGCAGATCTCTGTGAGTTCAAAACCAGCCTGGTCTACATAGGTAGTTCTGTTGGACCCTAGAGTCCAATCGCTGAGGACGAGTCACCCCAAGAAACCATCTCTCACACCACAGCTGATGTAAAAGCATGAGGATTTTATTAATTCTGTCATGACAGGGTCTTTCAGCATTAGAGAGGCCAGAAAGACCCGGAATAGCTGTACAGGCTACTTTTAAAGTAAAAAGCCACAGAAGCAAGGGCGGTGTCTGGGGGTTGTTCTTTAACTATTATGATTGGCTTATTTAAAAGGGCTATTACCAATAATTGGCTGGAGAGCGGTTGCTAGATCAGATGAGGTCACTTTGACCCCTTTCCCAGGGACTGAGTCAAATCAAGTCTCCGGGAGGCCTCCCACCTGGCACATACATCAGGAACTGAGTCAACATCTTAAAGGTTATCTTGCCCCAATTTCTGGAGAACATTTACAAAGACTCAGGGAAATGGGAAGTTCCCAACATTTCAGTGCGTGTTACTTGTTAGATTCCTGGTTCCCAAGGAAGGGGAGGGGGCACACTCTTGCTGAGAGGCCTCAGAGTTGTCAGAAATGCTTTAGTTATTTTAGAGTTTTACAGTTCCTTACAGTTCCAGGACAGCCAGGGCTACACAGAGAGATTGTCTCAGGACAAAAAAAAAGGGGGCCAGAGCTTAATGAGAGGACAATGCAGAATGGAAGAACCCATCTGTATTACAGGTAGCTGACAAAGAACCAGCGAATTACCAGCACTTCAGCACAAAAGAAAACCTTTTGTTTTTCGAGACAGGGTTTCTCTCTGTGGCTTTGGAGCCTGTCCTGGGGCTCACTCTGTAGACCAGGTGGTCCGGAACACAAAATCCACCTGCCTCTGCCTCCTGATTGCTGGGATTTGCTGGGATTAAAGGTGTGTGCCACTACCACCCGGGTGTCAAAAGGAAATTTTAACAGCAAACATGATGCTTCACCTCCCATCCTACACTCAATCACTGGACTACTTATTAGTCCAGTGATTGAACCGGTTACACTCTCCTGCAAGTTGTCCTCTGACCCTCTTTTATTTTCTAGTTTGCAGGTTCTCATCCAGAACCAGAAGCCACTCAAATCTGGCTAGTTCCAACTGTCCTTTTGGTCTGTTTACAGAACTGAAACGCCTAACATGAACCGCACCTTCTCCTTCCTCCGACACACAAAAAAACTCCTATTTTACTTTGGAGTCAGTTTCTACTCAGGATACATTAAAATACATAAAGTACTTTAAAGTAAATGCGACCCTTTATTTTGGATGCCACAAAAACCAATTCACAGCCAAGTAAATAAGCGTTCTTCAACAGATACTCGCTTCAAGTTCCCACAAGCAGAGACTACTAATAATTCTTTAGGTCAGACACAGCTAGGGCCTTGAACACACTACAGCAAGTGCTGAGTTATAACCCAACCCCAGACTACTCAAGTGGCTTTTTTCGATCATTTAAATATACAACTCTGGGCTGGACACGAAAGCTCAGTAGTACAGCATGCAAGGTCCTACACTCCGGGGCCAGAACCACAACCCCCCTCCCAGTACACAGAAACTGCCCCTACAATCAGTTAAACTCTGAAAAATCCAACAATTCCTGTAGGACACCTTGAACACAGGGCACCAAAAATCGCTGCGAAGAACCATTGGCTAGAGATTTGATCTGATTTTTCTTGAGCCTCCATGTCATGGCTTAAACAGTCACCACCACATTATGTGTTTCAAACAATAAAAGCGAGCTTTCCAGAATGTCTAATTACCCCCAAAAAAAACAAACAAAAAAGACAAATTCACAAAGTGATATGACAACCCCACGCTGGTTTCCCCAGCAAACTTTCTTGCCAAGGGCACTACACTCCAAAACTTCGAAGGCCCACAAAACAGAAAAACCTTCCGCACCCTTCCCTCGTGTGGAATCGTGCATTTAAAAACTGCGTCGTCCCAAACCGGAACACCTTTCTCATCAGCTACAACTTCCACCGGCAGCCCAAGTTCCCTGCTATCTTCCTCTGTAGGTACACAATCGTGACGTGTGCCCCGCCCCGCCCCCTCCAGGCCCCGGCCCGCAGCGGGACACGCCCCCGCCCGCGGAGCCGAAGGGGGGGCGTCTCAGCCCCAGAGCTTCCTGACCTGACCCGACCCATACCACCCCACAGTGGGCATGCGCCTCCAGCGTCCCCCGAAAGTTCCAGGCACTAGCCCCGCTCCTCCCGGGCAAGCCGCTCCTCCTCCGGCCGCCCGCCCGCCTGGCCCTGCACAGCTTCCCCCTCCTTCTGGCCGCCCCACGCGCCGCCTAAGCGCCCCAAAGCCGCTACCTGTCGGGAACCGCCGGCGCGGCCGAGCTCCGCGGTCCCCCGTTGAGGTTCTTTGCCTCGGGCGACGAGGCGGACACCGCCGCGGGCCGGGGCTCGGATCCAGCCTCGCTCCAGGCCGCATCCTTGCCGAGGGAAGCGGAGGCCCCGGAGACGGCGGCGGCGCCTCCTTCGCGTAAGGCCCCGGCCGCGGCCTTCTTGGTGTCGCCGAGCGCCGGAGACTTGGAAAAGAAGCTGTACAGGGTGCTTTGTCGCGACATGATG